ATTATAATAAATGAATAGATAATTTAACAAGACAGATGTTTAACAAGAGAGAGAAAAGGGGAATGGGGCTGCAAGAGTGAGTAAATGATTCAGTGTAAGCTCCGGTCCTCCCCAGTTGTCACTTCTAATTTCCCACGTGGCTACCCTAATACGGCCCCCAAGGACATTTGCTTTAGGTCAATCCTTCCACTGGCCTGAGCCCTGCCAGCCCTTGGGCTCGTAGCATCACACAGAATCTGGGGGCAGGGACCAGGTCTGATGCCACCCCTGCCTGCCCCATGGCTTACTGCTTGCCAATGACACACTCGGGAAAGGCGCATCAGACCACCAAATACACCAAATAAACAATTTCACGGTGACTTTGTAGACGAGCTGAGACTCTTCCTCACAGCTTAGACATACCTGTGGCTCTTCTGTCTCATTACATGAAAGGGCTCAGGATCTCCCTAGCATAAAATACCCAGAATCCTTTACTAAGTGCCCTTGAAGTTAAGCGTCTCCCCGGCAATTGCCTGGTAATTGCTTGAAGCCTGGAAGAAACACCTTTCTGTGCCTGCACAGAAAGCCCCACCCAGCAAGACACCCCCTGGGGTGTGTTCTGTGTCTCTGACTGTCCTTGTGTGAAAAGTCATAAATCAGACACGACTCCCTGTGCTTTGTGTGGGACATGCTGCTGAACAAAGGTCTTTTTCATTGTCTTTTCTTTTTTTCATGGGTTGCAACATGTCATTTGCCTCCCTCTGGCCTTGTGATTATGTTCTTATTATCTCCTATATTTTGTGAGAGTGCATTGTTTTATTGTTATCTTCATTTCTTTAAACATCCTCCTGATACCTACACAAGCACCTTTGCCCACAGTGTGTATTTCAGCTTCTCCCCAGTTCTCCTCGTGTTCCTGCCAAGGAGTCCTTACTCATCCTGCTTGTGAAGAAGAAACCTCTGGGCAACACAAACACCAGATGCTTCCATTACGGTGAAGAAAGACTGTGGCTGGGGTTGTTACTTACTGAAGGCTCACAGGGAAGCAAAGTCTCAGTTCCCAGCTCTGAGGCTGTGACAGATGTTAGTTTCCTGCTGAGAGTTGGAGCCCCCACTGACTGTGGAAATACATGCCAAGTCAGTGCCCTGCGTCAGCGTTAGGGAACAGAGAGGGTGCTTTAGAAGCACTAGGCATTCACCCTGGAGGTCTCAAGTAATCAGGAAGTGCTGTTTTGCTTTCTTCTCTAAAGAGGAAATGCAAAAAAATGAAGTAAGAAAAAGAGATCTAAACAATAAAAGTCCCAAATGGGAAGTGTTGGTAAAAATTAGGAATATAGGCCATTGAAGTTGGATGGGGGTGGGTAAGTCATGGAACAGGCATTGACAGGCCCACTGGGACATGTGGTTTAAGGGCACAAACTTGAAAGGAGCAGTAAATAAGTCCTAGAGACCTAGTGCACAGTCTAGTGAATATAGGCAATGAGAATGTATTATAATCATCAAACTCACTGAGACTAGAGTTTAATGATTCCAACCATAAAAGAGCCATATATCACGTGATAGAAGTGCTAGTTATCACTGCAATGGCGGACATATTACAATATATAAATGTATCAAATTAAATTTACATAATGTAAGTCAAATATATTTCAGTTTAGAAAATGTCAAAAAGCAGCTTTGGGAAGGAGACCAAGAGCTGAGATGACCCACAGGGGTCTGAATTTTGCTTCCCACTTGCTTAGGGGCTAAGGATGTGACATGGGTGGGGAACAGGCCATGGAGGGGGTGTTCTGGCCATGGTCATCCCAAGCCAAGCTCAGGATGGTGTGCAATTCTGCATGTTGGGGATGATGCGTTAGAAAACTCTTGGGTGTTTATGCTGGCCAAGTGGATTAAATGCAAGTTATCTAAAGCACTTTCTAATTCCACCTTTCATATCCTCCTGAGTGCCTGAGACCACCAGGGAAGTTGGGGGAAGAGAGTGAACTAAGCCATAAATTGGAAACCCTTTTTTATTATTATTATACTAACAGCAACAACCTGAATTGCTAAATGCATTCCAGGACTTATTCTCTTGGGGGTGGCACAGTGGTCTTGACGGGGTCACACTCCCCTTTAGACTGATTCTGTTCACTCCCTATACTCATATAACATGGCCGTCATTTTTAGATGCTTGTATATGTTGTTCTATTTTTTTTAACCTTTCATATACATTGACTCCTTTGAGTGTTTCCACAGTCCTGTAAGGCGGGCTTTATCATTGTCAACTTCATTTTGCAGATGTTGAAGCATCAAGAAGACAAGTCATCAGCCTGAAGTCACACAACTGGCAGGTGGAAAACAGCTTCAGTCTGGATCTTTGGTCTTTAAGCCCTGGATTCTTACGAGCCCACACTTTTTATCTGGAGACAAATAGACCAACAAGGGACAGCTGATGGACAGCAGTGAGACGTGGCTATCACGTCAACATTTCTCATTGTAAGCAGAGGAATTGTTCAGCGGTGATTTGCCTGCTGTGGTCACTGTGGATACATTCACGATGAGAGGAACACCACAAAATCAATTAGGCCAATCGATACCTGGTGGGAAACTCCCCCAGCGGAGGAACAGACTGCATGCAGAGCTGGTTATTACCCTCCGTGCTCTCCCTAATGCAGCGGTTCTCAACCTTCCTAATACCGCGGCCCCTTAATACAGTTCCTCATGTTGTGGTGATCCCCAACCATAAAACTATTTTTGTTGCTACTCTATAACTGTAATTTTGCTACTGTTATTAATTGTAATGTAAGTATCTTTTTGTTTTCCAATGGTCTTAGGCAACCCCTGTGAAAGGGTCGTTCGACCCCCAAAGGGGTCGAGACCCAGAAGTTGAGAAATGCTGCCCTAATGCCAGTTCCATTTCAGCTGTGGCACTCTTCCATGCCTTCTGTTCTAGTAGTCTCACTCCTGGGCATTCCTCCTCGGGACATCATTCAAAGGGAAGCAAAAGCTATCTGCATGAAGATGTCATTGCAGCTTTATCTATAACAGCACAATATTGGACAGATTTAATGCCTGATTATAGAGGAATCTCTAAGTTATGGGAGATCAACTGATAGAATATTATGCAGCAATAAATACAATGGTTATCATGATTATGTAGCAAAATTGAAAACACCACAATATTAAACATAACTGGCAGAATTAAAAAACATGCCGGCTACAGTTTGTTTCTGTATGACCAAAACCTGGGAAAGTGAAGACAGTGGGTTATGCATGAATCTTTTTAAATAGTTTCTTTTAAATGTAGTTCTTACAAATACAAATCATACAGGAAATATGAAATAATAAATGTCGGTTAACATTAGGAACTGCTCTTGTGTGTCCGTCCATTTGTGTGTGTCTGCGTGTGTGTGTGTATACAAGTGTGTGGATAGAGTCTAAGAATTTATCACGTAGATTTAAAACCAAGAGAGCTGAGAGTCAACACAGCATTTTCACTATCTGCCAGATAATTTTCACTAAGCTTTGTACCTCTGTCTCCATAAATTGATCCATCTATAGGAAGAATAATTTTATAGTAGGAGTTCAATAAATGTTTCTTAAGTAAGTGAATAAACAGACTATGGGAAGCGATCATATCTGTGTGATGGACAGGAGCTTTGTTTCAAATAGGCACTTTTCAAACACTTGAAAAAGGGAGTGGTAATGCCAAGAAGTTCTTTTGTGTTATAGGAATAATGAGGGGAGATAAAGCTATTTTCTGAACTGCCCTTTACACTGCTGTCTGTCATAACTTCCTGTCTACAGGGTGAAAATGTGTGTGATACGTACATTCAGAAGTCTACTTAATTGAATAAGACACTGATTGTGTAAGTAGCTCCTAAGGGACAATGGTGGACAGATGTGACTCCTTTTTCCCACTCCCCACTCTGCCTGCACAGCCAATCCAGGGGTCTCTTTGGTCTAGTGTTCAAAGGAAGGAGGCTTTACTGAACTCCCAAAGCAGGACGAGAACTGGGATCCCAGACAAGGCAGAATTTGGGGTACTAAACCACCAGACACAGTTGTTCAAGAAAGTGTGATAACAAAATTGACCTCCTGTTTTTAAAATAATAACAATAAATGGTAATTACGGTCCTTCAAACTGTTAGATCATAGCATGCCCTAGTTGTCTGGTAGCGCATGTACTTAGCGCCATGCTGGGCACATAGTGGGTGCCGATGGGGGTGATTCAGCATCAGAATCAAGGAAACCTCTGAGCCCTGCTCTCCCCCAGGACCCACACCCAGTCTCCTTGATTACGTTTTTTTCTTAAAGAAATTAATTCATTTTATTTTTTGAATAAGTAAATACAAGCACTTCATGCAAAACTTTTAAAAGAAGAAGAGTATACGGGAAAAATAAGTCTGCTTGCTATCCCTTTCCCCTTAGTCCCCTAGGTCTCTGTCCAGTCACATCTCTACAGATTCGAGCATATGCATATGGAAAGATTTTTTAGCAGCTTCAAAGCTTTCATAGTGTGGCTGTCCCATATTTATTTAAACAGTTTACTGTTGATGAAAATTTAGGTTGTTCCCCATTTTTGCACTTACAAACAATGGTACAGTAAAACCTTGGATTGCGAGTAACGTGTTTTGCGAGTGTTCCGCAAGACGAGCAAACATTTCTAAAACATTTTAACTTGGTAAAAGAGCGATGTCTTGCAATATGAGTAGTCTATTTCTGGAAGCAAGGTACTACTGTTCTTTTAAAAAGCAAACTGAGGCATATAAAACATTTTAAGAGTTTATTTGAGCAAAAATCAATTCAAATGGGGCAGTGTCCAGCTGGACGTAGTTAGGGTCATTCCACTGACAGGAGCTGGGAATAGAGTTTTATAGATAAAAGATGGACGCAAAGCAAGGAAATGACTGATTGGCTATGGCTTAAAGCCTAGTTGGCTCTTTGTGATTGGTTGTCCTTAGGTTTTGATTTCATAACCTTAAAGAGAAAATTCCATTGTTTTCTGGTTAGTTGATATTTGAAAGTAAACACATATATCATTTTCAAGCATTGCTTTATTAGAAATGTTTTGTGTGATGTAAGTTACTATACAATTAATTATCCTGTAACAAAAAATGACAATAAACCTGATAATTTTTTCTGTCATCCATATTCCAGAGGACAAAAAAAAGTTAAAGGTGCACCATGACTTGGACATCAGTTTTAATTTCATGTAACAAAAAGTCAACTTTATGAAGCAATAAATTACATGACAAAATCCAAAGATTAGGTCAGGTGAGGATATTAAAAATAAAAGTATTAAATTGCTTATACAGGAAGGCATTGATTAATGAGTGCAGCATTGCTTTCTCAAATGCTTTCTGCAAAACACCAATTGATGGGGATTTTCAAGAAAATCTGTCCAGTGTTAGTCAGTACACGGTTGTTCCTGGCACGGCTTTTGCAGTGTTTGGGGAATGAATGGTTGTTTGGGACGGTGGTGAGTGAGTAGATTTGCTGAAGCCTGTCTGAGCCTAGACTTCTTGGCTGTAGAGAAGTGGGGGGCACCTGGCGGGTGGGAAGCTGTGGTTCCCAGCCTCAGTTTCTCTGACTCTCCAGGCTGGGCTCCCAAGGTGACCATGCGTTCTTAAGTAAACAAACAAGCTCCCTGCTCGCAGTCCCAGAAAGACATGGAAGGCACTTTAGGAAGAGCAGCAGTTCAGAGCGGCCCACGTGTCTCTGTTACTCTCACTCCCACACCAGCCAGCTCTGTGTCCTGGGGAAAGCTCATTGGTCTCCTAAGGCTCAGTTTCATCTTTGACACATCTGCCCCTATGGGTGACATGAGAATTAAAACAGACAATGATTGTAAGGTCTTAGGATAGTCCCCATGCATACCGGTGAGCCATTACACGTTCCTGGGGTGGGGAAACCAGCCTCGCTGCAAAGGAAGAAATGCTTCCAATCTTACATACTACATGTTTGGGAAAGGATTATTTTGGCCTTGACATTTCAGGAAGTGAGAGGGAAGTAGGTTTGTTCTCACTGAGAACAAGCCCTATCTCAGGCTGGTGGAAGGTAAATGGGCGGCCAATGGAACACCAGCATCTCGGCTGGTGGGCAGTGAGATATAATTGTTCTTCTCTCATGTCACAGTGAAATCAGACTCTAGGTCATCACTTTCAATCTGCACTTTGGCTTGTGGTCTAGACTGTCTCTACAAAGCTTCAATTCTTATTGTTGTTGTCTTGTTGCTTTTAAATTCGAACACTAATTTCTTTTTATGTTGCCTGGACAAAAACTGCCCCTTATTATGGGTTGGGATACATGATCCTGGGTCTTCTAGGGTCACAGTTGCTGAAGAGAGGGGCCTTGTCCTGAGGAGGTTCTGTCACCACAGGAAACAGCCTGGCCTTTAGCTGGCTTCCGGGTGACTGAGACCAGCATAGATGAGAGATGAGTTGCAGCAAAGGGTTAAAGCATCATTCACCTGCCCCAATACTTAAACGTGGTCAGCATCTCAAGGAAAAGAATGCACTGCCCACTGTGGGTACTGGAAAACCATTATTTGGGGCACACAGAGTAGTCATTAGCCTCCAGAATTTTCAAATATATCATGACCTCACAGAATATTCATGATGGTTTCTGAATAATGCAAAACACTTGGGTTAGTGACTGTTACGATGTCTTGTGTTTGGGGGCTTTTTAAAAAGGCATGTCAAAGTAAGGATTTGTTACTGGCAAGACGGCCAATCCTGACTCTCCCCAAGTTTTCCTTCATTGGAATTAATTCAAGGATTCCAAGTGCCATGTGACTCGTACATAGTAATTTTTAGATGTATAAACAATTCAGGAATGTATATTCAATTCAGAAATTTGGTCCATCATTGGAAAACCAAGAATTCCTGGAACAAATCAATTGTACTTATTATTAAAATGTGTAGAATATTTTTTTAAATGCTCAAGAAAAATCTGTAGGAAACAGTGAATTCATATGTTGAGCTTTTGCTTTGTTCCCTGGACCCTGGCCAACCAACGGCTTCAAGGGCATCTCCTTGACCAAGGACAGATGTGCTTCCCAGCACGGAAGGCTTTGCGAAGCACCAGCTGCCCTCCGGAAATGACAGCACGGCTTCCGGAAATGACAGACATTGTCTCAAGTCCACGGATCTTCAAGAAGGCAGGAACATCACAATTCCTGTAAGTGTCAAATGAGCATAGAAGTCGGCAAAGAAGAATCAATCAACAAACGTACCAAACTGTGGCCAGTAGTTATTAAGCTCAATACTCTGCGAAAGTCTGCGTTTGGTCTCAGACACACATGTAAATGGTGTAAATCAGTGCGTGGGCCACGGCTTCCCAGAGAAGGCACTTCTGCACAGCACTACACTGGGGAGTATTAACAGGATTCAAGTAAAAAAGAATCCATAATCCATTAAACTTGGGAAGTTTGGAGTTAGCCAAAATCACGTGGGTTTCTGTGCTGTGAGCTGTCTCACACACTAATGCTAATGGGCACTGTGGCTCTCCAAGCAGAGATGATGGCACGACATACAGGACCACTGTGATTGTAGAGCATCTCTCAGAGGCTGTCTTCTCCCGTGCACTTGGGGAGGTGCTGCCTGATAGACCTCGGCCCGTTTTATGGCACAGGGAGAGGCCTGCATTGCCCCACTGAGTAATAATACACAGCCTTACTGAGTACTACACTGCCTTACTGAGTACTGTACTCTTACTGAGTACTTCACTGTCTATGTAAGTATACACTGTCTTACTGAGTACTACGCTGCCTGAGTACCACACTGTCACACTGAGTACCATGCTGTCATACTGAGTACTGTACTGCATTGAAGGTTTCCATGGCCATGTCCTGCCTAGCAGTGAGCAAAGCTCAGGAGGAAAACAGGAGTGGCTCCAAAGTTTATACACGCCTCCTGGTCCATTCACACCCCCTGCTCCCTTCCTGCCCTCATTGTTGGAGAATTTCAGAACATCCTGACGGAACGTCAGGAGACAGGTATTGCCACGATAGAAAAACAAAAAGGCTGCACATCACTGATAGGCTGTTGCCTTAAAAAAAACCCCACCTTTTGGAGTTTTTCATATTAATTCTTCTGAGATTATAGTGAATCACAGGAAAAGTAAGGTGGAAACCTGTTAATTCCATATTCTGGGTTTAATTAGCTCCCTTATATTATGTGCCTGTAGGAAAGTATAACAGGCGAGGCGAGAAATGTATGTATGTTTGGTTTCTTTTATAGGTCCTTAAATCAGAAGATATTTTAATTGCAGAAGAAAGGGAGATGATATAGGAAAAGAAACTTTTTTTTAGCAGAATTCACCCCAATTTCTGTCTAGTGGGGGCTGAGATGTAAAGATTTTCATGTCCTGTGCATGATGCTCCCATTAATGACACATTAAAGGTGCCTCCGACTGACATTTAGAAGGAAATTCAGCTGATCCCTCAGGGTCTACACACCAATCTCCCCCCTCCCACCCCACTCCCGGAGCTCAGCCTCAGGAGAGAGACCATGGACCACCTTTCTGCTGGGAGACCTCGAGGCTGTGTTTTCACGATGATTCAGGCACACTGGTTATGCAGGGCTGTGAGAGTGGCCCCCTGAGCACCTCGAGTATGTAGATGATGTGGTCACTTACCCTCCTATCCCCATCCTGTCGCGCCTCAGGTCTCTTCCCAGGCAGCAGCTGTCACACAGGAAGCCGCCGCCTCTCCTTCTCCGGCCTCCTTCGCTGGCTGGAGCTGCAGGATCATGGCCTGCAGAGTTTCCTTCACCAGCTGGAGCTCCCTCCTGAGAGTCTGTGCACATGTTGTTAAGGGAATGAGGAGGTGACGGCAGCCCCGGGGGACCTCATCAGGTGTGTGAGCCTGCCGAGGCAGATGGGCACTGCTATCTCGTTGCAGCCTCAAGTTCCTCCAAATTGTAGAAATTAAATATTAATACAAATTTTACACTTCTTTTAAGAACAATTGCAATTTCTACAAGGCCTGGGGTTATTAACTCTCACAAGTGCAGTTTCAAAAAGGAAAAGGAAGAGTCAGCTCTGAGACTAAGACAGATGGCCAGCCGGGGTTCTCCATGATTAGGGACTATAATTCCTGCTAAGCCCCAAGCTGGGGTGGGGCAACTGTCATGGCCAAGGGCTCTGACAGTGCAGAGGCCAGAAGGCTGGGAATCAGGGCCTCCTCGAGAAATCCAGGATTTGGGGCCACTGTAGGTCATGAGCCGGTCCCTGCTGGCCACCACCAGCCTTGTCACTGGTGCAAATCACTTGGAACCTCAGTTTTCTCAAGAAACAATAACTTCTAAACCCCTGTAGGTTCTAACTTGCTACCACGTGTTATTAAATTCCCAGGTTCTTGTAAAAGCCATTCAGGTGCTCCAGATTTGGCAGAGTGCAGGGAGCACACCTTTTCGGGGCTTGTTTTCCTTCAGCTGTTGGGTGTTTAGTTTTAACCTGTAAAGCTGTTTCTCACAGACAGAAAACAATCACAGAGAACTCAGCAAAGAATTACATGGTATAAATCAGCTGTTATTCTCTTCAGAAATGGGCTGTCTTCTGGGTGTTTACGCTGGGGAACATTTAACCAACGGTGGTTTTTCTGTCTACCCCCCAGGACTCACCACTCTTTCCTTTTGTACCTGTAGTCAGAAACTCTAAGATAAACACAGGATGAGAGGTGGGCTGCATTCTTTTAATTTAACAAGCAAACTAATTTCACCTCATCCAACAGGAACGAAGGGGAAACAGAACTATGTCGACACCACTTAAATACCATTAAATTATCCCATGAGATCAGGCCACTCGAATGTTACTAGATCAGATATGGAGAAAACAGAAAGCTTTGGGGAAAGTAGCTTGCAGAGATCTCACCACTCACAGATACTCTACAATGTTGTTTTTTTAAGGACAATGTCAATGTAATGTCAAGAGCAAAAGGCAGCCTTAGGTTATGACATGCAAAACTTTCTCTTTTTTCCTTAAATAAGGAACTCCGGAGGATCCTGGGAATTATGCAAATTAACATCTCCTAAGCAAAAATGCTGAACCACCCTGAAAAGCTTTTGGCAGCTTTTCATCCTCTTAAAGCTTCACCAGACTCCATCATTTGTGTAATTTACATATATTTACTATGATGGTTCACTCGTTGCACTTGAACTTCAGGGGAATGAGGGGTTGAGGGGGTGTAAGGGAGAAAGAATCCAATATACTTTTTGGAGACTTCGTTTTCCTCCATTTCTCTGGACAGCCCTGCTAACCTTTTGTGAAAGCACATACGGCTTTATATACGCGAAAGCAAAAAAGCTACATATGACTTTATATAAGCAAAAGCATAAGTGGTCCCAGACTGAACACCAAGCTGAAGTTCAATCACAAAGTTAGGCTACGTTTATAAAGAGTGGGCACAGAGCTCAAATACTTTATGAATCCTAGCAAACTCCTCAGATATAATTACCTTTGCTATTCAGCCTGGGACTACACGCACTTATTTGTAAAATACTAGATGGTGACAAAGGATTTGAGAGAGAGAAAGCAAAGCAAAATGAGATGTTTCTTAAAGAGCTCGTAAAATTTCTGGCACCTGTAGAATACACTGCACAAGTTTTAAAAAGCGAGTGAGAGAAACGCCACAAAAGGAAGACAGTGAGTTATGTAACTAAAGTAACAGCCCTTCACACAGCAGGTTCACTGGCATGCAGTGGTATCAGAAGACGGGATTTAAGCTCTGGGAAGCTGACAAATCACTTATGCTTTAACTGTCTCACTTATAAGATGCAGTCCTATACCTTCTTCACAGGGCCAGGGGTCAAAAAAAGATTTGTCTCTCGTGAGCATATAGTGCCTTTTGTGAGGCAGCATGAGATTTCAGGTTAATTTACAAGATAGCAGAGGTTGCAAACACCTTCTGCTCAAGCAGGGCTAGACACCAGGAATCCTGGAAACGTTCTATAATGAGCCTACCACCATCAAAATGATTGAAATCGTGTTTTTATTTACAAAACACCTCTCTCTAGCCAACCTGACTGTATGATTTCTTACTAAATGTGAGTTCCAAAACATTCTGAATGTACTGAAATGGAGGAAAATCCAGGACAAAATGTGGAGTGGGGGAGAATCAAGTTGCAGAACAATTCGTATAGAAGGATGCTAATTTTGAAAGAGAGAG